TTGTTTTGGGCCGGGAAGGAATCGATTACTCCTCTTTACATCCGAATGCGAGGTGCTGCCCACTACACCACCGTTCCTTTGTGCTTCAGGGTCAAAACTGTAGCAACACCTACTATGTATCTTCCTTTCAAGGCTGAATTCACTTTTCTTCTCTGCTTTTCATAGGCGGTTTTCATTTTTTTTCTTTGTGGCGGTTTCTTAGCCGGCTTTTCGCTAGTTTTCTGCGATGCTCTTGTCACAAAGATACCACAGCCTATTACTCAGTCTCCCAAGGATGTTTGGCAGCTTTCTTGCGACTTTTCGGGCTCGTGACACTATGCCATGAACTGATAGACCGAGAGGGAATGAAACACTCCTCTTCATTTCCGGGCATGACGTGCTCTATCCACTGTACCACCGGCTCTTGTGCTACAGGATCAGCCTGGTAGCACATCTACTGTGTATCTGCCTTTCAAGGCAGAATACACCTTTCTTTTCTTCTCTGCCTCCTGTAGGCAGTCTTCATTTTTTTTTTATGGCGGCTTCTTGGCCGTCTTGTCGAACATTTTCGGCGACAGTATGAATGGTCGTTGCTTTACATTTGACATGTGCACTCATTGCTATAAATCATCATAAATTTTGTATGAAGGAAAATGAATAATTTTCGTTGACCGGTCATTCATTGAAAATGACTCATTTGTTTGGTTCTCGAGTTAACAGTTTCCCCTCCAGAAATTTCATGTGCCGTTTTGAGCCGAACGTAGCTAGAAACTGAGTTTGGAAACTTCAGTTTGTAAGTGGATGGGGTGCACTACCTTAAAACTTCAGCTTTCTAGCTTGCCTGATTCTCGAGCGGCCGTTTCCCCGCCAAAAACTTCACATATCCGTACGTAGGAACAACGCGTAGTTAGAAATTGAATTTGACGTATTTAAATTGTACTTGGGCGGAGAGCATCGTCTTAAAATTCCGATCTTCCAGTTTCTTCCGAGTTAGCAATTTTCCAGCCGAAACTTTCATCCTGATGTGGGGCCTAGACGTGCATAAGAGTTGGTCCTACGTTCCTGGGATAGTGGCTGGCCAGGGATTGCCCACTGACAGAATTTTAGTGTCAAGGCCTGGTGTACTCCAACACGCAGTTGAACTCATACTGGTCGTGCTTTGGCCGCTTCTGGCATTCAGGAGTGAGGGCGTCGGTTGGGATGAAGGTGTTGCATTATAGAACAGCGTTGACATTTAGGTGTGTGATCACCAGTTTTTTGCATGAAGCTCAGTCGTTTTTCTGGTAAGTCCTCGCCCTTCGAAAAAATGCAAATTCCAGCTTTCACTGAAAAGTGAAAATGTTGCTAGGGCGGTCGTTCGCTGTAAAATGCACTCGTCTCTGAGTTTGTGGTAAAATTGAGTATTTCTCATGCCCACCTGCAGGGAATTTCACTTTCAAGTAGAATTACGACGACACTTGAAAGTGGAATAATCCAGCGAAGTTTCAGCCTGGCAAGCAAAATAGCCATTTCGCTACAAATATATTTGCCTGGCAAGCGAAATAGCCATTTCGCTACAAATATGTTTGAAGTGCCCTAATTCTTGGCGCAAGTGCAAGTCGGTACTCGTTTTAGGTATACGATTTCCCATATGGGTGATAGACATGCTGACAAAATTTCAGCCACTGTTGAATTAGCACAGTACCAAATTGCAAACTTTGACATGGTCGTACGCGCTACACAAACTTTCGCAATGGCTGAATTTGAAATCTTTAGCTCACACAAGTACGTAGAATATCCCTGCAAAGTTTCAGCTTTCTATCTCGCCTGTTTCCCAAAACCGTTTCCTACTGGAAAAATTTGTACATTTTTCCGGGAGTACGCATACGAGATCAAGGCGCGTGTAGGAAAGATTTTGAAACGAGAGATTGACACACGGAGTGGGAATGTGTCCCCAAAATCTCAGTCTCCTAGCTTTCTAGGTTACTGAGTTGAAAGTGGGTGACAAAGTTAACTCGTTTCCGAACACGCAC